GCAGCTGGGGAAACGATACTTAAATCTTCCATAATGCCATAAGGTATCATAAGTGCGTTTTTTTAATAAGAGACCACGCCAAAAAACACTGCTCTGAAAGTGACAGACCAATTGCAGTGCCGGTTGTTCTACCAATTTCCTGGAAGTGTGAGTAGTTAGATGATGTTGGATGGTTTTTTTGTCTCAAGTCTCAAGGTGTTGTGGGTGGAGATCATATTTCGGATCCGGATGCTGCGGTGCTTTGACTACTGGTGCGGCACAGAGCGCTACTGGTCGCTTGGCCCATTCTGTTGGGTTCTGGTGTTCCTAGCCGTTGCATGGCCTTGACACAGATTGCACCGGTGATTTTTTGTGATTCTTGTAGCAGCTCGGCGGATTTGGGGGAACATCCCGCAAATCCATCAACCTGGCTGAGCGCAAACTAAGGAATTGGTTTGATTTGCTCTTAGGCGTGACGGGTGTTGCAGACATCTTGCTGCAGTGCTTGGGCAAGCGCTTGGAAGTCGGCCCAGCTGGTGGCAAACCTTTGACCTCGAGTGGTTTTCTATAGTTTTCTACCCAAACATGTGGAAGAAGGTTTGTTAAGGGCAACCTGAAGGTGTTTGTGAATACCTCGCCCCCCTTTTAGCCAACGATTGAGGGACCCTAAGGTATGATTGCCCCAAAATCATTGCCCGGGAGTCTGGCCTGTGAATCGTTCTTGAAAGGAAGCACCAGGAAGAGAAAAGAGATTCCTTTTGTTGACTTGCTTTCTATGAAATAGGGAGCAAACAGGAAATGAAAGTCATTTCCGTCCATTGCCATTTCGAATTGCTTCGGTTTTCAGCCAGAATCCAAAGGGCAGCAATGGGGAAAGACAAACAGAGGTTCAGTGGGGAGTTGAGTGCAACCGGAAAAAAGTTGTTCAGACCATTCCCTGGTTTTGCTTAATGTGATTTTGTATTTTCCAATTGTTAAATCCCCTTCTGGGGAAGTTTTAGATTCTTTCCAGGTTCCTTAAGCAAATCCAAGATTCCGACCACACAATTTGTATTTTTCATAATCATATTGTAGAGTTACATAGAATTACACATTGTTGCTCAGTATAAACAAATCATTGTCACTCATTCCCAGGGTGCTCGTGGACTGCCTTGTTGCAACGGGAACATTTTTTTGGAGCAATGGTTTGGATGAGTTTGAATTAGTGTGTTTAAATGAAGGTCTTCACGTTCGAGGATTCAAGCCAAACCTAAAGAGTTGAGGCATTCAGAGGTTACGACTTGTTACGACACCATAATTATACCAATCCTTAGGAAATTATTTGGAGGTGGGAGTCACTTAGTGAAATATTTTCCAAATAATTATATAACTAAAGGTATTATTTGGCAAGCCATGTAGGTGGGTTTTTCACTAAACCAGTCTAGGTTGTGCAAAATAATGTTCATACGATAGATACTATTTCTAAATAATTTTGAGTCTATGACCACCCAATAAATAGTTTTGAGTATATGAGGACCCACCTGTTTGGCTGACAGAGCAGCAGCTTGGAAACAAACACCTCAGAGTTACAGCCTTTGGGCACAATGCTTTGTGGGTTTACTGCTGGATCAAAGCTAGAAAGACAAAATCTGTTTCATAAAAATGGCGGGGCACACTTGGTCCAATGCTTTGGAAGGCATCGAATCAAAGTCCACAGGCGGAGAATGTTTGTGAGTCGAGGACACCTGCCATCTCAATAGGAGGACATTGAGGAAAAGGATAATAATTTTGACCAACAGACATGTACAGATAGATAGTTGGAAACAGGCAGAAAGGTGGAAGAAAAGACACATGGCCACCAAATCCAATATAACTAAATTTTTTTGAGAGGGTGGGTGACTACGCAACCACCCATTAAATGGGCTTCAATCACAGGAAACTAGGTGGAAAAGGACAGGGTACAACCTCATACAATCTATATTGAAACTTATTTGAGGGGGTGGGTGACTATGCAACCACCCATCAAATGGCGCCAACGGGAGAAAAAGGTAGAAAAGGACAGAACAAACAGCAAGGAAACAGTGGAAGAGGAAAAGAGACTGGAACAATTGTGCAAATCCGCTGGGTTTTTTGAAGATTTGTTTAAAAATAGCCAGGAAGAACCGGCATAAACAAACATCAGCGGCTTAGGAGTTCGTGTTAGCCACGTAGAGCCGGGACGGTGGGACTATAGCAAGCAGCAGCAGCCCCAATAATAAATGATTTGAAGGGTGGTTGACTACTCAACTACCCATTATGACACTGTCCGTGGTAATCCGAGCTGGGTCAAATTTGGTCAACTTAGGGGGGTGGTTCCCACCTAGATGGTCTCATGTCGGATCTATGTTGTCTTGAAATTATTTTGTCAGACCCTGAGAGTCCAGAAATAATTTGATACGGATATCTCCACCCACCTCAAAATAATAGACTATTATTTTGAGGTGGGTGCTACGGAGGGTGGGCCCATTCGGAATGATCTATACCACACACCCGACCGCATCTTCACAGCGACGCGAGCGACGCGAGCGAGGCGAGGGGCACGGGGCACGTTCGCGACGCCACCGAGGATCGTCTCCAACAATGAGGTCGAAATTGGGGGCGCCGGACTCCTCAGATTCTGCCGTGCCTCAGATTGAAATCGAGCCGCGAGTGCATAGAGATGCTGGGAGAGGTTGAGTCGGATTGGTCGACCAGTTGGCTTAAAAAGGACATCGTCGGCTTAGAAACCTCATGAAACCTCTGACTCTCCCAAGCCCTCAAAGGCAGATTATGCGATTCTATTTTGGGCAAATCATCCCCAGAAGAGGCGATCCCTGCAAGATGCAAAGGAAAGGTTGTCCCACTGTTTTCTGGGAGGATCCCTCAGTGGTTGGACGTTGTCACTTCTCTACTGGATCCCATTCCCAAGGACTTGTGTCATTTTGGCTCATTCCACCTCAGATATCACATTTGCCGAAACCCTTTCAGGTGAGTGAGTCGGCAGTTTGGTGGCGAAAGCTTTCGAAAACACCGCAAACGCTTGCGGGTGACATCGCCCAGCAGTTCAGGATCACTCCATTTCACCCACGTAATACGTCAATAAAAAGGTACCCTACCACCAGTTCGGCTTTACCATCATTTGGCCCACACAAGGACACCTAATTAGACTCAATGATGCGCCACCACATCGGAGATCGATGCTCTCCCTCGACCCTGAGGATTGATCCGACTGGTGCGCATTGTAAAGGTTTTCAGGATCAAAATGCTGAAGGCCTCCCCACTGGGCCGTCGGCGCCGTTGCAGGGTCAATCGCGCGGCCGTTGCAGCGGTTGTATGGGTCTCATACAGATGCAGAACGCTTTTACATGTTTTTACGTAGAAAACCGTTTTCAAGAAAATTCCAAACGGGGCCTGTCTATGGGTGCCTATGAAAGACGTGCGTTGCTTTCGGAAAGAGATTGCCTTTTGGGTTCCACTGATTTGTTGGACATAATGCCACGGAGCATGATCCATTTAGAATGCTTTTGGTTTCATTATCCTGTGATTGGAAAACTGCTTGTGATATGTGCCCTGCTGGGGTCACTGCTTGATGGCCGAAGGAAGCTTTCATGGCCTGCAGACAAGACATAGATCTTTCTGGTCAAGATCATGCTTGCCCCCTCACATGAGCATGCCCAAATCTTGGCTTTCCAGCCGTAAGCCGGGCCCTTTGCGGTTCAGGGGAGCCTGCCCCTTGCGGTTGTCCCAGGATTTGCGCCTGATGATCAAAGGCCTGGTTGCAGGCATCAAAACATTAAGTTTGGCCTTCATGTTGCTTTTTGTGCCTCGCCATGCGAAGGGCACGTTGCGTGCCAGGGTCAATCCGTGGCTCCCCAGAGGGCCGTGGCGGTGTCTCCCTTCTTGCAGGTACTATACTCAAAGTGTGGTGTATCACTTGTTTGACTACTTGTTTGTATAGGCTCCGCAGGCGTATGTTCAGCTTCGACTGGCTGAGGGGAGGCTAAAGATGTAGACAGGTACGAACCAACATTTACTGTAGGGACAAAGGTTGCAAGTCCAACCTGGCTTCGAAGCAGGTGATCCAGGATCTTAGACAAGGTGGTTTGTGGAAGGGTGGTTCGGTGCTACTGAATGCAGACTGTAAACAACTCGTCTCATGCAATTCCATTACATCACGTATTGTTGATTCTACTGTCCATAATTTTTATAATATATATACCCTGGGTGTCTAAGACTGTTTTTAAAACCGTCCTGCACGAGAGACTGTTTTTATCCAACAACGGCTTTTCAGGGGCTGTCATCTTCGATGATTTCTCAGGCTCGAATGAGCAACGGCCATGGTCATGGTTTCAACATGGCACGGTGAGATCACGCATGCCCCAACAACAAATCGACAAGTCATCTTACTTAAGATCCCGATATTGTAATTTATTGATTGCTCAATTTACCTTCTTGGGTGTCCATGGCTGGTGAACTGGCTGGCGATGAGCTCAGTTCCTGCTGGCTCCGGCTTGGGGTGCCTTGGGTTGCATCCAGTGGTCATGGCGGCTGGCATCTGTCATCATCATCATCCGCATCATCATCATATTTTTTGAACTGCTGAAATCCAAGGATTTTGGGATTGGGATGGCATGAAGATCAAAAAAGCCTTGCTCAGAAGATGCATCCTCAGAATTTTATCGGGAACGTGTTTTGTTGAGTACAATTGCAACAGTGGTTGAACGGTTTACCATATTTACCATGGAATGCATGTGATGGAATACCTCGTGATCTCAGGATTGGCCACGGATAATAACCTACTGGAGCCCCATCCGCCAGAAGGTGCCTGCATCCTCCCTGTTCTTGTGAGCTGTGTTGATGGAAGTTCGAATCAAAGCACAAATTTTTGCTTGGTGCGCTAAAAGATCGGGGTCAAGCGGTTTCAAGTGACTAAAAACGCAGGGTGATATCATATCATCATAATCTCTTGTGCAGGACAGTCCCCTGTTTCTCCAACTTCCGCACCCCTGCCGCTTTTTCAACCCATGGCGGCCACGAGTGCAAGTGAAGACCGCATCGCTCTCCTCAAGGTGGCTGGGCAGCAGTGTCCGGAATGTGGAATGTTCAGGTTCTTGTCAGGACGGTTCATTTTTTTCTATCGCGGTAGTTTCCCACCTAGGAATTCTACAAGGAGATGCTTGATTTTGAGGACTACATCCCATCTAGGAGGAAGCTCTTACGGCAAAGGGCTGGTCTCCGGGCAAAGGATCAATCTGCAACCCGGCTACCCACAAAAGATTTCAAGAGTGTTTGCACTACACTTGTTTTTTCGGTTTGAGCTTTGATCTCAGTCTCCACATTGTGAATGGTGAACAAGAATTCTTGTTTTGAGGTCCCTGTGTTCTCCTTTGTCACCCGCTTCGCAAAAGGGGACAACATAATTGAGATGGAGGCTCATCGAAGCAACTTCACAGTTGTGACTTTTGAGTTTTAACGCACTCGATGTTTCCAAAAGTTTAATAGCACCGAAACCCAGAGTTGGCTAAAACCAGCACTATAGTAGCCTCGTAGGTGGAGCAGAAAGAAAATTTGGAGTTCCTTGTGGAGTACCTCGCTCAATTCTGCGAGCGGCTGCCGTCAGATTTGGAATGTGAGGACATGGGTGTTGGGCTGAATTTGTGCCTAAACTCAAAATCCATTCCCAATCACTGTGCACACAGGTTCTAGAGTTTGTCCTTCCCGGCTGGTGTGGCAGGAAGCCTTAACTTGGACCAGCCAGACTTTTGGGCTGAACCCGCATTTTTTCTACGGAGTCGGAGCACCGTGCTACTCAACTTAATTCATTCAACTATGGACAACCCAGCCTGAGAATTCATCGAAGATCACAACCCCTGAAAACGTGAAAAAACCGTTGTTGGACAGAAACAGTCTCTCGTGCAGGACGGTTTAGTTTTAAAACAATCTCAGACACTGAGGGTTGTGCATGTTAAAACATGTTGCAAATGACTTTCTGTTCAAGGCTTGGGCTAGTGTGGAAAGCGGGGTGCAAAGGGCAATGGCGTCCTACTGTATGACAAGATTTCAAAAAGCCAGCAAAGCCCGGTGGATTCCTTAGCATGCTTTGAAGATCCCATCATTAGCAATTCAACTAGGTTCTATTTTTGATCCTGAGACAAGCTCTGTGCCGAGGGCTGGACGTGAGGGGATGAAGAAGGTGAAAGATGTGATCCGTGCAAAACTAGAGGCCGGCAAAAATTATCTAAATAATTGTTTGTGAAAGTTTATTTTGTCTTGGGGAATTCTTGGGATGTATGGGCTACAGGCCCACTGGTCACCAGTGTCACCAGCAAGGTTTAAAACACCATATTCATCGATCCATATCGGGCAACCTTTCTCTTGTCAGGCAGTGGGCATGCTGCGAGAGGATGGAAAGAAGAAGGGTAGCCGAGGTCCCAATGTTGGTTACAAGGAGACTTACATGGCACAAACACTTTGTGTTGCATACAGCCTGCCTTGGGCCTTGACACAGATCAGCCCTTGGGGACTCATAGACTTTCAATTTTCTCTATTGTGTGATCCGCCCACATCATTTCTTGCGTCAGGACCAGAAGCAAGACATGGAGATCGACAGCCAATGGCGCCTCGATGAAGAAGAGGAGGAGCCAGATGAGGCAGAAGAGGAACCAGAAGAGGAAGAAGAGCAAGAATTAGAGCAAGAAGAGCCAGAAGAGGAGCAAGAAGGGGCAGAGGATGAGCAAGTGGAGGAGCAGCAAGAAGAACAACCAGAAGGTGAGGAAGAACAGAAAAAGGAGGAGGGCGATGTTGAGATGTGCAAAAGGAGCAGCAGCACCAATCCTGACCAAATAGACACACTTCCCATGACTGAATCCCAAATCTTTGATGATGCCGTGAACGCAACTCAGCACTACGAAAGAGTCAATCCACACAGGTTCTGAGGAGGAAGCCAACGATGAAGACAAGGAAAAGATGCAGCCAAACAAGAATGAAGAGAAGACCAATGTGGAGAAGCTTCGAAAGATGAATCATATAGAGCGAAAGACAACAAGGATTGAGGGTGAAGAAATGGAGGGTGGCAAGCAGGAGGCCAAGCCAAAGGAAAATGAAGATGGCCACAAGCCTCAACCAAAGAAAGAGAAGGAGGCAGACACGGGGGTCAGGAAGGAAGAGGCGGAAGAAGTGAAGGAGGAGGTAGAGCATGAAGAAAAGAATGAGAGGGCCCAACGCAAGAAGCATGCAAAGGAGGTGAAAGAAGAGGATGTCGATGAAAAAGAGAAGGCCCTGCCCAAGGAGGATCGCAGCAACTTCAAGAAAAGTTCTGAGGAGGATCAAGAGAAATTGAAGAAGAAGCAGAAGGAGCACACAAAGGACGCGAAGAAGGACAAGGACAAAGAAGTGAAAGAGAATCGATATCCAAAGAAGGAGACAAACGAAAAGGAGGAGGCTGATGAAAAGGAGGTGAAAGACACAGAGCCTGTAGCTACATGTGCAGCTGTCCTGGTCGACTCGGATCAAGAAGAGGATGCAGTCTTCATGGACGACCGAGGGCCACTGATCAAGGATGAGAAGGTCCCAACCAAAGAACAGGAAGAGAAGGCCGACAGCATCATGAAGGAGAAGGCCACAGTGCACAAGGCTTCAAGCTGGACAACCAATGACGACCTTGTGGCAGCGCAAAGGAAGATGAAGAAGATGAAAAAAAGAGGCTGAAGAGGGGGAAGGGGATTCAGATGATGATGACGACGACAAGCTGCTTCGTGAGGCAGAAGAGGAGTCGGAGGAAAGAAAAACTAAGGGCCGAGGCCGAGGACGAGGCAAAGGACGAGGAAGAGGCTGCCCAAAGAAAGGGGATGCCAGCACGGAGCCTCCACAAGATGATGAGGAGGAAGAGGGCAGAGCCAAGAAGAAGCAAAAGTGCCAGCGCCAATCACCAAGTCAGGAGACATCAGAGAAAGAGGAGTCAGAGAAGACACAGAAGGCGGAGGAAAAGAAAGTTAATGAAGAGAAGGCAAGGAAGACACAGAAGGTGAAGGAAAAGAAGGCAGAAAAAGGAC